CCCCCCCTTTTTTCTCAATAAATTCTGGTTAAATTTTCTCAAAAAAAAATTTAACAATGGATATGTCATTAAACTGGAAAACAGGATTCATGTAACCAATCGATATAGTTGGGATAAGGCTTAGATGATGATGCTCTTCAGAAATGCTCATAAAAATTTTGAGCCAGAAGATAATTTTATAGAAGCAATGTTGGCTTATGCATAATTTTATTGATGCTTCTATCAGTCATTTGATACCAGAGTGGTTATGCCTTTTCTGATCAAGCCCCAAACTAAACTTCAGTGAGATTATTTGTTTAGGGATTCGGCCTACTTGGACATGAACTGTATACAAATCGAATTTATTTAAGCCCTATCTAATGCTATTCTCCATTTCTGTTAAGATTGCCAGTGTCACCTTTTTCTATTGAGTTCTTCTCTCCTGGATTGGCCCAAGTATTGATGTGTTTGCAACCATATTGTTGTCATAATAATCTTATAAGCATGGCTTCTTATGGCAGCTATTAGTTTGAAGACTATCAAAAATGAAGGAAATCACTGTTAAAGGGGATTTTATGCTGAAATCAAACGAAAGATCAACCTTGCCATGTTTTACTGAACAAACATTTAATCCTTGTTCAATAAATCATCATAATTTAGATTTCTTTTTGGTCATTGAGGCAATTAATCTGAAAGCTGGAATATGCTATCTAGATTCCACTGTGGCATCAGAAAGCTAGTGCAAGAGCTGATGGAATTATTCTATGGGATTATCATGTCATCTGCATCCAGGTCAGAGCCAAATTTGTTTAATCTACTGATAATTGGTGCATCAACAGACAGTAAAATCAGGTTTACTTGGACAGTTAGATGGTTTAAATGCGTCTAATTCAGTTACATTCTTTTGTGGTATGTGATGTGATCTTAAAATCATAATGGAACTCACAGAGAAGTGGAGAAGGCAATGCACCCCATAAGGTGTGGGATCTGGATTCGTCTCTTACTTTTCCTACTCCTCTGGATCAATATGTCTCAGAAGCTATCCGTCCATCATTTCAGCTATTTCCTGAGTATAAGAGGTAATTTCTAATCTTTGCACCTTTAATCTTGGTGACTACCTAGCACCTAGAAGAACCATGAAAATACACTTCATTTTGTTATATTTGTAATCACTACCATCTAAAGTTTCTTATATAATCTTCAAGATATGCACCAACTCTTACATAATGCTATGACGGAAGTATAATTTTTAAGTAGCATAGGTCTCCTATGTCTTGTATTCTGACTGTTAGGAGACTTAGAAATTCATCTGCTATCATGGAGATTTATTTCTCATTTTTCAAGAACACTTTCATTTTTATTTGATAAGTTCATTTTTAGAAAGTTTTTAGAGAATTTGTTTGTATTTATTGCTGATTTTGATCATATCCTTTCTATTGGGATTTACAAGTGGTCCAAATTTTAGGCCCTAACGAGGTTGACAACATGCATTTGATTAAAATATTTAGTGGTTAGGATTTTTTGGACCAGATGAAGCCAGTTTTAGAGTTTTTGTTTTTCTAAGTCATCTTTGTAGAGCAGATGGAGGGTAGTTCTGTAATTTTACTCTCTTTATTGTAAACTAGTAGGCATGTATATTAGTGTACAGCCCTGTACTGATCAACCCTAACAGATCTGAAGTCTCTTGGCTTTCTCCTTGTCTTCTCTTTCTCAGACAGATTAACATGGTATCAGAGCGGGTTGTTCTCTGATTCATCTCTTTTTTTTACTGTTTGAGGTTTCTTCACTTCTGCGTTTGATTCTGGACTGTTTTGATGAATCCAAGAACTAGTCTTCTCTATTCTGCACAAGCAACAACAGAAATCTTACTGGATCTCTCTTGAAAGGCCTCCATTTGTGGTAAAACTTGAAAGGAAGTGTTGTCTGGCCCTATTCTGCATATTCTGAAAGTTACATCAAGTTTGGACAAACACTGAGAGAGATCTATACATCTCTTCTAAGCGGCAGCAGGTAGTCTTTCCTTTTTTGGACTGTGTTCTTAGATCCCAGTCTTGTTGTGCTTTGGACACTTTTACTCAACTGTAAGAGGTTTCTTGTCTTCCCTTTTTGACTCTCTTGGATTGGTTCTCAGTTTATATTGCTTGCTTCGGCTATTTTTGTTCTGTGTTTTACTCGACATGGGTCTTGAAAAGAGTAAAATTACAGAACTACCCTCCATCTTCTCTACAATCTTTTCTAATGTTTTGGGACTTGGGAGTTTGATTTATTTTGCTGACCCATCCCCATATGGTTGGGATAAGGGAGTTTAATTCATTACTTATTTAAACACTTTTTTTAATCATTATTGGATTACATTTTCCTCTCATTTTTGAATACATCATACTTCTATTATATTAGCCTCATTTGTCATGTTGCACCTTATAAAAGCCCCTAATATAGATCTAGTATTGTTCCACACACTCATATATGCTTCGTTAGATTACATCTTTCAATTAATTATGAGAACCATTAACTGCATATAAATCTACTTGTATGATGTTACATAAATATTTCTTATTCAGTACGTGTTTAAGATTTTCCACTGAACAGTTTTTAGTTTTCGTTGTTCTTCATGAAGAAGATTCTTTTTCTTCTAACTTTTAATGATCTCATATCATGGAGCCCATGGTGCCTAAGCTGATACCCAAGTGACAAGTTTACATGCATGTTCAGTGCCTTCTTAGGCAAGGGAGAGGGCAAGGTGGAAACCTTATCATATATTGTGTACCATGTATTTTATATGTGCTCTATGACACAAAATCATATAGTATATATGTGATCTGTTAATTTTTTAATTTGCATGGATTAAATGTTTTATTGTGGTACTTGTTTGGTTGGATTAACTATTCTATGACTCGTTGCATTGCTTATATGTTTGGATTCTTGTTATATGAAAATTCATTATTCTAAAATATGTCTTTCTACTTTGTTAAATGGATTTAGAAGAAAAACAGTTTCAAAAGAAATAAGATATCAGATTAGAAAGAAGAAACAAAAAAGTGACACCAAGAAGAGAAGAAGAGAAAGGGAACAATTGAGAAGAAAAGGGTGAAAGAGAAGTCTTGTTTGTACCTCTCATCCTTTCCCTAATCCTTTTCATTAAAGAATAATCACTAATGATCAGAAATTACAAGTAAATCCTCAGTAATTACAAGTAGGTCCTTAGTGGGGCAGCTAGCTAATTAAACATAAGAAAACTAAAGTTAACAGGACCATAAGAAAAAGGCCCATTAACAAAAGATGACATAAACATTAAATTAAAATACAATTGTGGACTACGGGCCATTCGGCCCATCTTCTCTACAGATTTGATTATATTATTTACATAATATTGAAGTTTATGTATAACAATTGAAAATATAGCACATGTCAACATGAATCATACCCTAGTAATCTTACAAATTATGTCCCATTTCTTTAAAAGCCACCACCTAACTGGCATCTAGGTAGCATTTAATTGACTAAGTCCTTAAGCAACAAGACATTATTCTGTTGCCCAGTCTCGCCTTGCCACCTTGATGACTATGATGGACCACATAATGGATTCTGAATGTCCTTTGGGGTTTTCCTGATTTACTCAACTAAATACAACCCCAACCGTATGGGGTCAGCTACAAGAATCTTGTAAAGCCATAAAGCCATTTTTCTCTATTAAGAGCCATATTTATTTGTCAAATCATACGTCATTAATTCATTTCTTACCACTTCGACCCATTTGCTCTAATTTAGCAATCTACAATTTTGCGGAAGTTTAACCTATTTGTACTCTATCACAGCATGGACTACTGCATTTATTGACTCTATTGTCAAAATTTCTGACACTTTTTAGTATCTTTTGGCCTTCCATCTTCCTGATTTCAACATCTTTGAATTTAGAGATTTTTGTAATTTTTTATTGGTAAAAATATTTGCAGTTTTTAGTATCAAATTCTTTTTGGTTCCTATTCAGATGTGTAGGTTGTACTGTTTACCTTTTAAATGAGTTATATGCAAGAGTTGTATATTTTGGTAAAGGGTTTGCTTTTTAGCACCTCATTTCTTTTATTTGCTTCATTTTACAGCCTGGAATTATTTGTCAACTCTATTAAGTTTTTTAATATCACTGCAAGAAACCTCTTCTGTGATGTCCAGGCTTTTTAGGGTGGTGCATGCTCCAATTTTCCTTCGCTTCTTTGCATCTGATAGACGACACATGAGGGATGCTGTTGGAAATTGGATATCTCAACCTCCTACTTGGGAACCCATAGTTGCTGAAGGTGAATTCCAGGATCCATCTTTGCTAGAATTTTTCTCTCCAACTTTATCTCTTCCTTTTTGTAGTTAAGTTGACATATCTATTGGGAGAATTGCTTAGCAGGTTTTGCCCTTGTTACTGTTGAATATCATGTGCTAAAGATTATCGGAATTATGCAATATTGGGTAGTATTCAGTTGAAAGATAAGTGTGGAAGTATGTTTCTTAAACAAGAACTCCAATTGCATGCCCCCTCTATTGACCAATTTAATCCTACAATATCTTATTCTGTTAACTCAAAATCCTATCTAATGCCACCAAAATCATGCAAAACTGACAAGTTTGGACTCTTTAAAAATAGGCTGAGAGAAATGACGTGATTACAACTTTAACTTGTCAAAAATCTAAAAACTCTAGAGATTGCCTATGCTACTGGGACCATAGGAGCCTATTGGGTACCATGCGTGAAATCCCAGCTTTCCATTTTCTTTTCTTTTTCTTGGTTTGCATCAGATTGCTTTTGAAAGGTGCTTTCTGTTATTGTTAGTTTACTGACTGCTTCTGTTGCTAAGGATTAAAATATCAATATGATATGCCCATACTGGAGTGTATGATATCCATATCACTGTACCTAGATACACTTGGGTACACCAATACAGAGGTAACCGTAACTTTTATTTATTTATTTTTTATTTGTAACCGTAACTTTGATGAGATAAATAGATCACAAATGTACAAGAATGCAAGAACATAAATAGGCCAGTCAAATACTTAACAGTTCAACTTTTGCAATTGTTCCCAGAAAGTTTCTTACCTGTTAATCCCATTTTTGGTCGATACATCTGCCAATGGTTGTCCTTGGGACCCAACTGAATCTGCACACCATTCCATTACAGACTCCTAAGTTCACTTATTATATATCTATACTGCCACGGTTCTTCTTTGCTCCCTTGCAGCCATCCCACCACTACCCATGGGTCCCCCTCAACCAACACACTGCTGTAGTTTAGAGATCTTCCTAATTGGAGGCCTTGTAGAATTTCCAGCAGCTCAGCTTTTATAAAGTTCCTTCCTATCCCCTGTTGGACCTGAAAAAATGGCTTAGTATTCTCCCAAGTCTGCCCCCAAAAGTCACCCCTATACTTGACGGGCCAGCATTTCCCAAACTACAGCCATCAAAATTTAGTTTTAGTTGATCTCTGTTTGGTGGTTGCCAAGAGAATGTAATGGCAAATCTCATTAAATAGAAACTGCCAAATGCAAGTTTAAGCTTTATTGGACATATAGATTGGCAAATGTGGTGGAAGATGTAATGCCAGACAAGGGGTGAATTGGAGACAACTGTTTTCTGTAAGGGAAGAGGCAAGAGCCAGCCATCATCAAAGATTGTGGGGCATTCTTTTATCATATGTAGTTAAACCATTCTTTGCACTTAATGAAATAAAATTACAGTTTCTGATAAAAAAATAAATTAAAATAGAATAAAGCAGCCAAAAGTCTTCACCCAATGCATCACTTGAATAGAAATATTTTCAGTGATATTCTCCGTTGGCCACACCTTCCTTAGGAAGATTCTATCATTTCTTTCCTTCCAAACATTCCAAAGTATTGCAGCTGTCATGCAACTCCATAGGTTCGCCCCCTCATTCTAAGAAAGGTGAGGAAAGAGGCTGAAAATAGGCTTCCCAAGCTTGTTGGCAGAGTTCACCTGCAAGCCAAGAGAGATAGAAACCTGTCCCAAATACTAGCCACAAACACACAAGCAGTTAGTAAGTAGAAAGTGGCTTTGTCACCTATATTGCAAAGGAAACAAATATGTGGTAAAATAAACCAATTGGGCTTTCTTTTTGAATATTTTCACAAGTATTAACTTTTCTAAAAACAAGTATTGATTTTAGAGTGATAGACCTCCCAACAGAAAGTCTAATTTTTAGGTGGTATTGTTCTACTCCAAATTTCCTTAACGGAAATGTTTGCAAGGATGAGGAAGAGGAGTGCATAAATTTGTTTGCAAGGACGAGGAAGCAAACGTACATATCTAAAATCAAGAGGCTTGAGCTTGGCGAATAGGTGCTGTCTTTGTGAGGAACAAGAAGAGAATGTCAGACATTTGTTTATCAGATAGTATGCTGATTTCCTATGGAGACCGTTCACCAAGATGTTTGGGGCACATTTCTGCCAAATTCTGCTTCAGAAATCTTTTCAGCTTGGCCAAAGTTAAGAGGACCCAAGAAGGCTAAGGTGTTTTGGAGCTGCATACCTTTTGCAATATGTTGGAACTTGTGGAAGGAAGAAGAGGCATAGAAGAATTTTTAAGCCAAATTCTATAACATGGATAGGATTGTGGCTGCTGTAAACAAGTCAGTTTCTGATTTGGGTTATGGTTCTTCCAGAGTTCAGACATTGGTAGAAGGGATCTGGGGGAAATTTTAGGGGAAGTGCTGGAATTTCAGATCTGTAATCTGGAAAATTTGTATTGAGTCTGGATTCTACATTCTTGATTGTAAGGGGTGATGCCTCATCACCTTCTTCTTGTATCCTCTTTTATTTTAATAAAATCTTCGTTTTTTACCTATCAAAAAAAAAAAAAAAAAAACAAAGGAAGCAGCCTAGAAATAGCTTTCCAAGGAGATGCAAACATTGCTTTTGAGGGCAGACTGGCATCCCACCCACTATTTTTTTTAATCAGCATTTAATTTAGTCTCCAAACACTGTTCAACTTCAACCTTGGGTTGGTGGGTAAACTCAATATCTGCTACATGCTTTTGTGAAAAAGGTTGAAGATTGAAAATTCTATGGTGGGTTATGCCCCAAAGATCAAAAGTAGAGAAAGAATAATAATGAAACCCTGGATAGAAGAATACTTTATTTCTTATCAAAATCTAACCCTATGGCCAATCTTTACATCTATCTTATAGACTTCTTTTACCATTTAATTAGAATCCCAATAGGAAAGAAACAAAATATGTTGAAAAGCCTTAGCTCACTTCGTTAGAGCATTTTGCTATTAATATGAAGGCTTTGATCTTGTAGGTTTAATCAGTCATATTATATTGGCCAAATTGTGTAAATTAGATAATCAAAATCAAATTCAAGGTAATTTCATTAATACATGGTTAGAAGCCAGGTAAGATGCATTGTACAAAGCAAGCCTCTCTTGTGACCAATTGGATTGACCACAAGATTTCTTCATGTGAGTAAAAGAGACTAAGAGAGTACCTAGTATAGTGAAGCTCTGACCCGATTAGGGAACCTTTTTCCTATTCTATTATATTATATTATTCAATATTCCTATTCATTGTATAAAAGTTGCCTATATCTTAATTGTTTGGGAGTAAACCAGATGAATTGTCTATATTAATCTTCTTCCTCCATTTTATTCCATCTGGAATCATACCTTTGTTAAAAAATGAATTGTTAAATCTTCTTCCTACCACCTGAATCTGTCCTTTACTCCTTTTTGATTTCCACTTGCATAGATGAACAAAAATGGCATCTTTTTCTAAGTTGGCCTCTTGGATTGCCGTCCAAATATTATGCACCAGTCAGCTAGTCCTAAACCATGACGGTTGCACAAGTTTCACAGTACAATATAATGTTCAACTAGAACACTCAGCTGGTGTATAAGCATGAAAATACTATCAGGCTATTACCACCCCATCTACTCACCTCTCTCTGAATTTTGATTCTTCTTATGCATACTGAAAGAAATAAAAGAAAATTAATTTTTAGAATTATATGTATCATTGAAGTTCTTCTGTTTCCTCTCTTGAATGTTTTAGATGGAACTGTACACAACCTGGATGAGTATATTCGAGTTAGTACCACGGATGTGTTGACAGATATTGAAGATGATTCAATCCAATCACTGTTCTCTCAAAAATTTGGTTTGGTAGCAAGTGAAAGTCAGTTGGAGGACTTGTTTTCTTTTATTTCTTGATGGTTACCAACAAATCAAATGGAGGCTCAAACAAAATCTAGATACTGGTTTATTCTTGAATGTGCCACTGTAAATACGTTTTTAACTGGTTGCCCTTATATCTTGTTTGATAAATGGATTGATTTTGTGGAATGATCAGCATTTAGGGTTTGTAAACTACTAAACTATATTGTTAATGGATTCTTTTAGATGGTTCAAGTCTTATTAACTGCAAGATGGATTCTTTAACAAGTAGAGAGAGAGAGAGAGAGAGAGCAAGATTTGAAATTCCATAATTAATGGTGTTAATGCCTTGATGGTAGTATTAATGCCTTTAATTTTGAAATTTGAAATTTGAATTCTAAGATCATAATTAATAAGCTAGAAAGTTAACACTTTTAATGGCATAATTAATTTTGCACAAGTTATATTAAAAAAAAAAAGTGGTTTGCATCTAGGGATGTCAAATGTGCTGGATTTGGTCCAATCCGATCCAGTCTAATGCGAGTCCATTACAAATGGACCAGGTCCAATCCAATCCAATGAATATTTTTGGACTGGTCCAATTCAATGTCTGGACCGTCCAATCTGTTCAAATTTGTTTTAATTTAGATTAATTCTAACTCAAACCTGGTCCATTAACACCTATATTCCTATCTTCTATCAATGGACCAGATATTGGTTGAATCCAACCCAATCCAATATAAATTCATTATGGATGGACCAGGTCCAACCCAAATTTGATACTTTGGACCATTAAGTTTGGATTGTTCAATCTGTCCAAATTGATTTTGGTTCAGACATGATTTAATCCAAAACTAGTCCATTGGCACCCCTATTTGTATCTCTGTGGCAATAGTGGCATTATTATTAGCTTTGGATTGGTCCATGTCAATTTGTGAGAAATAAATGTTCTCACGTCGTGTCTGAATATTATTTTAACTAGAAAAACCCATGTGATGCACGGGATTATTTAACCAAATTGTAAATTAGAGTTAATGAGCTTTTAAACAGCCCTATATACTTACAAACACTTTATCACGAAATTTCATCATAGATATCCCCCATTTAACCCTTTATCACATTAAGATTTTAATTTGGGTTATCTCATTGGCCAAGATATTCATTTCTTAAATGCCCTTGATCATATCATTATGGAACAATCAAATCCCACCAAATGATCTAAGAGATCAATACCTCTACAAACTCCATTGTCAGCACTTGATTTTTGCTCAATTCGTCATTGAAACCCCAATTTACCTCGAACACCCAATTAAACCGCTCTGATCCTTTTGAAGTACCTAAAATCCCCAAACACCATCATCAGACCTAGGACCTCCTAAAATATCTACCCCTGAAATTTCAATCCAAGATTCCCTTTTGTTTATTCTTTTATCAAACCAAGATTTCCTTTCAAACCCTTTCGTTAGCCTGAAGCATACAACCCAAATCTCCTTGATCCTAACACCTCTGAATCAATTAGACCATACAATTGAACCCTATACACACCAAAAACATCTGCACATAAATTTTCAACGTAAAATTCTCTCATCTGCCCTATCATCGAACAAATATTCCATTTCATATGCTCTCATTGACCCAAATTTTCATGATTCTGGCCCTCCAAAACCAATCATATGTTTCAATAAGATCCTAGGCACCCTAAAAACTCTACCCACAAAAATTCAGCCCAAAATACCTTTGTTTGTTCCTCTATTACAACAAGATTCTGTTTCAAAGCTTTGCATTAACTGGATCAAGTCCTTTTTTGAATTGCCTAATCTTAGCATAATTAGGCTTATTTGACCCTACCAATCAATGCATAATCCTCAACACCACACTTCCAAATTTCAACAAAAAATCCCCTCATTTTCCCCTCCATCACACCGAGATTCTATTTCTAAGTTAATAAATTAAACGAATCACTATTCCTCTAGATCTGCCTAGTCCAAGCCTAATTAGAACAATCTGGCCCCACTAATCGGTTCAAAACGCCTAAAAACCCACCCTGTAACCGCTACGTGATACCCACAATTACTCATGCCTATATAAAGGCACTTCTTTAACTAGAAGGTACGTGTGATTGTGCATTCAGACTCTCTAGCTTTCTTGTTCTCTTATATTTTTCACACTTATCGCTAACTTAAGCATTAGATTGTCCACCCCGGATATTTTGACTGCTCTCTTGCAGCTCAACTAGCCGACCTCCTCGGCCCGATGTCCAAACTGTCCTCTAGTAAAGAGCTACCAGATCTTACTCCATCAGTCCTCATTTACCAACTCAGAGGTGYGTTAAGCAAGAAATTGGGAGTTTGGGACTGGGGGAATTGGTGGAATTCTCTGATACCACTCTCTGGGCCGTTAATGGTCTGGGTCAATCCAAAAGATCCGACCCATACCTTCTACACAAGGTCGGGGTTTGCATTTTGAGTCCCCCAACCCAACTTTTTTTATGTCTTAAATTATTATGTTTATTTGATAATTGAATCTTATTAGGTTGAAGCCGGTAGGTTACACACTGTATATAGTACGTACAGACCCTATAGCTATAGGGTGGTCCGAGTATGTTTTGTTCAACACCCTATCTATAGCCGTAGGGTTTGAGCTTGTTGAATATGTTTTAGCATATGTGTTTTTAAATGGCTAATGCACTTCTGCATCTCAATTCCCTACCCAATAGTTTTTTAAGTGTAAAATATTCCCAAATTGAACTTTTTGTTAAAAATTCAATGGCCTAGCCTAAAAGTTTGGGTTCGATGCAAGGTAAAATCTTCAAATCAAGTACCCGATTTGCACCCCTAGCTAACGTCAATTCCAACATCGGTGCTATTGTATTACAATTGGGTTTGCCAATCATCAAGGCCAAAAAAGTCAAAGTGAAAAGGGGTTTAAGAGGATTCGACCATTTTAATAAACTAGTAATGGGTACATGCGTTGTACATAAAATTTTAATATTATAATTGTAATTACATATCAGGGGGTGGATTTGAGCTGAGCCGAGCCAAATATTTGGTTATTCGAGCTTGAATAGTATTAGGTTTAAGTTTGAGCTTGAGTTCGATTCGAGTTAGAGACTTGAGCTCAAGTTTGGCTTGGTTCATAGTTCGCAAGTTCAAGTTTGGCTTGACTCGAGCTCGACTACAAGTCAAGTTTTGAAAAATAAAAATTATTTTTTATTTTTTAAACAAAAATTAAAAATTATTTACTATTATACATGAAAAATAAAAATATTATTATATATAATAAAATAATTTATTATATATATTTATATGCATGTTATGTATGTATGTATGTATGTATAATAAAAATTATTTATTTAATACTAAGCTCACAAGCCTCACAAGCCAAGCTTCACTAGGTTCAAGCTCGGCTTGATTAGCAAACGAGCCTATATATCTAGCTCGTGAAAGGCTCGGCTTGTGGCCACCTCTACATATCATACTTATATTTGCTTAGTATAACCAATATATATTATCAAAGATATGCCTAATCTTTTTATTTTCTTGTATCTTTATATTTTATCTCTCTTTCTCTCTCTCTCTCTCTCTCTCTCTCTCTCTCTCTATATATATATATATATATATATATATATATATTTAAATTTTATTATTAACCCATTTAACCTAAAATGATTGAATTGTTCATCCACCACTGAGTAGGAAGAAAATGGTTTTTATAGATTAATTACTTTTCTATTAAAACTAATATTGTAGATTTAATTAGTAGAGTTTCATAGTGAGAAACAAGTATATCTTAAATATAGGATTTAATGAGAGAATGAGAGTTAATATCTTATACGTGGGACTTTATGAGAGAGAAGTTGAAAATTGTTTCATTTCTAGTGGGTTTTAAATTTAATATTTCATCTCCCTCATTAATAAAAATCTTTTTTTTATCATCAATGTGCCCAAAATTTTATATAATTTCTTTATATTTTATTTATTTTTGAATTTTATTGTTTAATTATGGCATTGTGGGCTGGCCCATTTGACTCAAAATGTTTAAACTTCTTATCACCATTTAAACAAAATACAATTTTGCTTCCTTATTAAAATATAAAATTTTATATTATTAAATTATTATCTATTGATTTAATTAATAGAACTTAGTGATGAGGAACAAAAATGCCTTAAATATATTCAGTGAGAGAAAATGGGAGTTAATACTTTAAATTTGGAACTTAATGAAATGGAATTGAATGAACTTAATAATAATATTTAAATTACTTGTAACAAAAAGAGACTATATTTCAAAAATAGGGGTATTTTAGTCAAGAAAAAAACTAAAAATGTAAGACTCTATTTGTACTTTTTATAAAAAACAACTAACTCGGTAATTACTTTCCTTCAATCCATCAGTTTAGTATTTCAATTTGAGTGCAAGGGTATTTAATTGAGTGTATGAGAGAGATTGACTACTATTGTGATGAAAATGGTTAAGGGTTAGGGTATTTATAAGGGCAAATTTCTTAAAATATGCTTACTATTTAGCTAATTGACTAACTCTACCCTTACCATTTACATATTATCTTTGAATATCCTTAAGTTTTCTGACAATTTACTAAAACCTCCCTTGCCATTAACTTTCTGTCACAGTGTGACCGATACTTTTTCCAAAAATTCCAAACGATTTGATGATTGTCACACTCTCTCTCAATTGCTGAAGGTACAACGAGAGAGAGAGAGAGAGCAAGAACACTGACGAGGAGGATGGCTGAGGCAGATATTAAGGTTTTTCTTTTTTATTAAATCTGGTAGAGGATTCAGATGGGGATTTAGTGGAGAGTAAGAAGGAAAGGGGTGGTGCTGGAGGTACATGTCGAGGGAGAGGGAGAGGGAGGGATTGTGTACGGTGGAACAAGGAAGAGCAAGGCAAGGAGAGAACGAGAGAGGCGTAACATCCAGGAGCAAGAGGTCCTGAACCTTCTCATTACCCTCACCACTCAAGATAGCAGCGCCATAAGCAATGGCTTCATCAGGGTTGATACTCTTGCAGAGCTCCTTCCCATTAAAATAGTCCTACAACAGTTATAAGGATCTCAATGAAGGAGACAATTGAGGTGGGAAACTGAGGAAGGTCGATTTCTCCAACTTTCTCACTGATGTCAAGAGTGACATAGACAATCAGATGGATGGATTTTCATCGAACAACTAATGGAGATATCTACTGTATCGAATGTTGTAAACAGAGTGAGAAAGTAATAGACTTCCCTCGTGTAAATACTGAGAAAGTAACAAAGGACGAGGCTGTTTAATGTTGGTCCCATGTCTGTTGTAGACAGACTTCCCTCGCGTTCCGATCGAGGTGGCTTCTTTATCCTCTCTCATCTTCTCAGGACGAGGCTAAAAGATTCTCAGATGTAACATCGAGCGAGCTTCTCTATCCACTCTCATTTCTTCAAATCCTAAACCCTAGTTCAGATCAGGTTAGGTCAAGGTTGAAAGTATTGATACGTATCGGCCAATACGTATTGTTTTTGGACCTTTCCAGTATGCCCTTACACTGGATGTATCGGAGGTTCTGACCGATTTAAGGGGTGGAGAATTCCTAAACCGGCCCCCCTAAATCGATTTTGAAAAAAATAAATAAATAATAAAAAAACAGTATAGATATCACCCGCATATCAGGCATATCAATATTTTGAACTTTGGATTGGATATCCACATGAATTCCCAAATTTAGAAATCCAGTCGAATGAATGAACAAAATTAGCAGCGGCAACAACCACCACCCTGGAAGCAATGGTCTTTGCAAGATTTTGATATCAGAAGGCCTCTTGAAAAAGGGAAGTTTGGGAGAGTCTATCTTCCCAGAGAAAAGAAGGTACTCACGATTCAATTTTCCAACATTTCCATTTAGATTTCTAATTGTAAACGCAACGTAGGAAGTAGGGCTGCAAATAAGTCGGATCAGATCCGATTTGAATCCGATACCGATTCGTTAAGAGGGATATTCTTGATCCTAATAAATCGGATCGAATTGAAAAAGTTGATCCGTTTAACTTAATGATCGAATTTGGATATTGGCTTATCAGATCCGATCCATTAATTATGAAATATTATATATTATATATGCATATTCTATATATTATTTATATAATTATATTTTATACTTTAATATATTACTATATTATATAAATAACATAATATATTATTTATATTATATAATATAAATATAATTCTTAACGAATCGGATCGGATATACCCTTACCGAATCCAATCTCATCCGATCCATTTGCAGCCCTAATACGATAGAGTAGTCGTGTTTCCTTATCATTGGCTATAGTTGATCGTGTTGCCATACCCTAACACAGGAATATGTTGTACCAAGATCGATTAAAATCGTTGGACCTTCACCGTTACTACCATTCTTTAAGAACCGATTAAGGAACGGGAAAAACAAATTACAGACTACACATAAAAGAAAAATTGAAGATTGCACTATGGTCAGACGATTCCGTTCAGTGACGGTGATTATTCAGATTCAAGTACATGATTCCAGTCTTTGCTCAATGAATGTAACTGGTGGCAACTGCAGCAACGATTCCGTCGGTTGATGTTGTCAAATCACTGGTTGTTTGGATCGGACAATGTTTTATTTTGAAAACTTGAAGGAGAATAATGGGTAAAGTAGTCTTTTTCGTCTTTCCATTTTGTATAGGTCTCCTTACCTTTGCCTTCCTTTCCTTTTTCCTTCAAACCAAACATAACCTTAAGGGTAGAGTTAGTCAATTAGCTAAATAGTAAGAATAACTTCAAAAATTTGCCCTATTTATAGAAATTGAAAATGATTGAATTGATCAAAGTACTCCTACTAAAGACTAAACTAATTGTTTATAATTGTTGGAAAGATTTTTTGATTATTGATAAAATTTATTAATCATTTAACTTATACTTGAACTACCCCTAAATTGGTTGTTTATATGCACTGCCTTTGGCAAAATACATAAAATACCCCTAAATTGGTTGTTTATAAGTGTTAGAGGGTGTTTTTGGCATTCAATCCCCCTTTTAACAGCTATATAACAGTTGCAACAGTTGTTTATAGCTGTTATATGCACCGTCCAGTCCGTTTTACACACTACAGGAAAAACCATCTAAGGTGGCGTTTTAGAAAGACCGCCACCACAGCGAGAACTAAAGTGGCATTCTCAACAAGACGGTTGTACATTTGAACTGGATTTTGATCCGACCTAAACCCCATTAAAATCCAGGAACGCCCCTTAAATGGATCTGCCTAGAAAACCTATTTGCATCATATTTCTCCTATTGAACAAACATGTTTCCATTCCACTGATTGTCCTCATTTACCAATATTGAATTGAACCACCATTTTTTCATAGAGCCTTCATGCCCCCTATTTGAATTTGAAGGTAAATACAATAGATGGATAGTCATTTGATGAAAAATAATTTGAATATTTCATTTCCTATAACAATAAGCATATAGATCCAATCACTAGGATCATTAACTAATAACAAGTGAGTGTTGAAAGAAATGATTCTATTTTGTGGGAATGTGGGGTACCACGGTTTTGTCTTTTTCGTTTAATTGGAGGAAAACTAGCCATTGATTTGAGATTATTTTGAGAGGTTTGAAATTGAGTTTTTCGTCCTTTTTCATCTCATCTTTGTGCAAAAAGACACACTTCCAACCAAATGGTTGTTAGATCTTTATATGAAAGCCCACTACGTCTTTTGCTTGTTAGATCTTTCAAAAAGCACTTGCCCAATGGCACCTTGATGGTGTGATGACCATTGGACAAAGTAAAAAATTGGCACTCAATTATCAATAAATAAATAAATAAAATTAAGTAGTGTAAGAAATTGAAACCATGGGAATTGGTGCAATTCTCTTAACTCGATTTGGGGCTATCAACAGTCTAGGTCAATTAGACAAATCACAAGACTGGGTTTGCATTTTGTGTCACAACACAGGACTAGGTTTGCATTTTGAGTCATGACATTTTTTAAAGGGAAAATCCCCGATTAGTACGATGTACTTTGGGCTTAATGTTACTTTGATCCCCAAACTTTAAAATGCGACAATTCAGTACTCAAACTTTCAAAATGTAACAATCCAATACCTGTCATTAACCAGCTATTTACATGTCGTTAAGTGACATTTGAAAAAGATGCAAATACCCTTCAAAGTGTTATCTAATTTTTATCAACCATCCAAACATTGACAAAAAATTAATAGTCCCAAATCCTTGCCTCTTCTATTCAAGAAAGTTGCGGTCATTCTGGTGACCCCAACTTTCTTGAATAGAAGAGGCAAGGGTTTGAGACTATTAATTTTTTAAATGGTTGATAAAGAAAATTAGATGACACTTGAAGGGAATTTGTATCTTTTTCAAATGTCACTTAGGTTCAATTTGGAAGGAGTACAAATACAAATTCGTAGAGTGCATAACCTTGTATTTTGTATTATTTTGTATGTATTTACATTGTACATATTTGTATTTGTACTCCTTCCAAACTGAGCCTTAAATAATACAAAATACATAGTTTTGCACTCTACATATTTTCATTTGTACTCCTTCCAAATTGAGCCTTAGGATGTGTTTGGAAACAGTGCAAATGGAGTGTAGATCTCGGTTCAGGGTAAATTTGCATTTTGTTTCACTTTTGTCTATGTTTGGCAACATTACATTTATGCATTGACAAATGACAAGCCAATGCATATTTACATTGATAATAAGATGTAGGGTTCAGTTTTGAAGCAGTACAAAAGCAAATATGTACAATGTAAATACATACAAAATAATACAATATATAAGGTTTTGCACTCTACATATTTGCATCTGTTCTCCTTCCAAACTCAGCCAAAAGTACAAGAAGTAAATTTGCATTCAAATGGGATTTTGATAAAAAAAAAACATATTTTATATTGGAATTCATATTTGCATCCATTACAACTAAAAGTTTATTTTATAAGAAGGTAAATTTATCAATGCAAAACTAACCCAATTTTACAATTTATATAAACCATTTTACACTACATATTTACATTCACACTTATTTGCATTATTCCTAAATATAATCTTAATCGACAGATTAACAAATACTAAATTATCACATTTTAAAAATTCAGATACTAAATTATTGTATTTTAAAATTCGAAGAGCAAAATGGCAGTAGCTCCAAATTACAGGATACTAATTGTAGATGTATCGTTTAATCAAATTGTCATGCATATTTGATAATTGGATGTTATTATGCCCGAGTATGCTTTCTTATCAGTACGGACTATCCATACCCTTCCTAGCCCAAACCCGACCCATTAACATCGCTAACTATAACTGACTCGTTCCACCCCAACGGGCCAGATATTCGACGTGCTAGTTCAGGACTTTTCCAAGTCAAATTTGAATTTCGAAACTCAAAACCCTAGCAAGGGTATAATCGTCAAACCAATATCCTAATGGACAGTTCAGTTTCCTATAAAAGGGCATTTGTCGATCTCAATGTCATGCCTTGATCTAGAAACCCTAGTGCATCGTGGTTGAGAGGAGCTAACGATAAGGTAGCGAAAAGGAAATCATAGCTTCCAACTTTCTCACTGTTTTCATTTCCTCCATTTGATGTTTTCAAAGGAGAAACCAGGTGATGAATTTGGATTCAAAATCTCACGACGGTCGTCTGAGACGCTACCGCGTCGATTTTGATGCAGATGTTCCAAAATTTCTGATGGTTTTGTTTCTTTTACTTGCTATTGATTTTATTGCTTTTTTGGCTTTTTCTTTTTATTTTCAGCAATATTAATCGATGGAGCGTGATGAGGATGATTCTAAATTTTCAGATTTTAATGATCGGAAATCAATACTTACCTCCTACTCATTCTGAGCGCTCGCTTAGAGAAAATTCGATTTTCTCTGTGTTGTAGTGTTTTAAGCTTTAATTTCGGCACTGAAGAGTTTATTTTGCAACTTGGCACATTGAGGAATTATGTCTGAACTAATGTGCCGAGTTCGACAGATCTGTGAGGTTTGTTAGTTAGATAAAGTCCTTTTCATTCTGAGTGCCGCTTGTGTTATTGGCCTGTTTGGGACTTATACGTCACTCCTTTTGGCTTGCTTCCTTTTGATGCCCTAGGGATGAACGAGTCCCTGATATTCTTCCATCCTATTTTCTTTTTCACTTGGTCAGACGATTATGTTGATCATCTTTTAGGGATGGGAAATTATTTTCTGTTTCTTTTATTCTTTTTATCTAGGGTTGCTGGAAGCCTTATTTTTTCTTCTTTTATCTTGAATTCATGGCCGATGATGACAAATGGAAAGGCTTGTTTCTCAAAACATTCGCAGTGGCCGCCTGAGAGCTTTCGCCTTCGCCGGGCTTGAGAGCTTCTGCTGTTTCAATCCTTCCTTGGATGTCTGAGGCTTAAGTAATAACCCTATCATAAGTTCTTTTAGTCTTTCTTATTTTTGTACTCTAGCCACAATCCAAAATTTTGTTTCTCGTAACGGTTTTACCTCTTTTGGTCCCTGGTTCGAATTAAACTAAGTAGCCTAGAGAAACAAGGAAAGCAATAATCTTTCATTCTTTTGTTTAGGAAAGGATATGTGTAATAGATTAATGTTCTGAAGCGAAACAAAAAAAAATGAGATTTACGTTGTTGCTTTACGGGTACAGAACATTGATATGTTAATTCTTCAGCATCTATATCCAAGACTGAAATTAGGTTCAGTTGCAGAATACCTAGCGTTCTCTGTTACCCCCTTTAATCGTCCCAAGTTTGGAACCTATGGTTCTCCAACTCCTTGGGAGCAAGAAAGCAGTTATAAACTTGTAATTTTAAAACAGATAAAATCGTTAGAACCATGAAAACAACCCCAGCAGTTAGATCCTATGGTTCTCCCAACTCCTTAGGAGCAAGAAAGCAGTTATAAACTTGTAATCAAAACAGATAAAATCCGAAGAACCACGAAAACAACCCCAGCAGTTGGATCCTATGGTCTCCCAACTCCTTGGGAGCAAGAAAGTAGTTATGAACTTGTAATCAAAACAGATAAAATCCGAAGAACCATGGAAACAACCCCAGCAGTGCCCATCAAATCCGAAGAACCATGGAAACAACCCCAGCAGTGCCCATCAAATTCGAAGAACCATGGAAACAGCCCCAGCAGTGCCCATCAAATCCGAAGAACCATGTTCATTCTTCATGCAACAGATCATCGGAGTAGCTATTAGTGACCCATTTTGAGGACCCACATTGGATATGCCTAATTTATGTTTTGTAAGCTCAAAGCCCCAAATTCTAGTGAACAGTAACATGATCGAGTAAGTAGAAAAAGTCTACAGGAATTTCCTGTTGATAATTCAAATGGGTTTTAATTTAAATTATAAAAATCCACTTTCAAGATGCTATTGAAAATGAGAATTTGTGATGATTTGCCGTTTCGGACTCCGAGAGAAACATTTGGAGTCGAAATAAAGTGACAAATCTAGTTCTAAATAATATGTGGACGAGTATTAAAACTATTTTTAGATTTTCTTAAATCATACAACTATAGAATTAGAGGAATTGATACTGATGGCGCTTGCTTTGTGGAGAGATTTTGCATTTGGATAATATTGTCAATAAATGCTTTACAGTAGACAAAATTTGGCAGTTTTTGAGTCCATCTATTACGGATCCAAATGGTCCAAAATTGGAGAACCTTCAACAACTCTTCTGGGCTACCCAACACCACAAGGTCATTGAATCTTATTAGTGGCACTGGCACCCTCTTGAATGTAGCCGTAGAAGTTTTGGACCATAAAGCTTATTTTTTAGGTTTCATAACCATTGAGGTTTGGGTAGCTTGTGAACTTGACAATTTGTTGTGGTGGCGATTCAAAGGTGATTTCACTCATTTTGCAAAATCTTTATTAAAGATAATAATTATTGAATTGGCCATGACTAACTTTTTCTCCAAGGGGAGTAAAGCCAAACTTTTTAAGAAATTGACAATCATTAAGACTCTGTTTGGTTTGAAGGAATAAGTGCAAAAATGAAAAGAAACCTATACAAAACTTGTATAGGTTTTCCTTTTTCTTTCCTTCAAACCAATATATCGTAAAGAGATATCACTGATATGGTATGGCATTTGTCTTTAATAGAGTTATATTACAAGGTAATGCATAAGCCAAGACACCCCGTCACCCTATCCCTCTAAATGAACATCTTGTTCTTCCTATGATATGGTATGCATAAACCCATCACTCTCCTTTGTATTTTTCTTTGGACTAATATACAACTTATCAACGAAGTATCCAAGTCCAATGATCTCCATCATGTCTTATGGGTTTAGACCTTTTTTTGCTTTCAGGCCCAACCGCCTCTTCCCCTAAGTCTTGTTGAATTCCTTTTCTACCACCTCTCTCCTTTATAAGCAATTGTAGTTCAATCCACCCAAACTTCAATACTTCTAATTCTTTAAGCTCCCAAGGAAAACTCCTCCACTTGTCACAAACAAACATCAAAATCACTTTTTTTTATTTGTAATTGACGATGGAAGTTGTATTGAAAGGCATGGTTTAATAGAAGGATGGAGTTCAGGAAAAACAAAGATGGCCTGGAGAGGATTTTCAAACCAAAGTTAGTTGGAAACATGAACTATAGGTGGAAGCAAAGAGACTCTTTTTCGAGTAGGGAAAATCCAAAGGTGTGGTTGTGTAAAAGTTTAGGAAAGATAGATGAGCTTACATTCTTCTTCCTAAGGTTTCCATTATTTGGCTAACAGGTTTTATTGATGGTGCGATTAATACAATCAAGATAAAAGGTTGGAAAAACTCCATGCAATTGTTAGAGAAAATTTGAAGTGGAGATAAGGAGGAATAGGAAAGGATGGTTTCTAGTTACTGTGGAACTTTTTGGAAAGAATAGAAGACAGATGATTTGCTTACCGAGGGAAGGAGAAAAAAGGGTGGACCATAGTTTTAGAGAAACTACAAGACTTTCTCATTGCCTTTTCCAGGGGGTGTAACAAGGAAATCTGTCTTTTGTGGAATCGAGGAACAATATGTTCCCGATTCTCTAAATATGAATGAAACATAGGAAATGGATGAGAGTTCCAAGGCTCAAAACTTTTCGAGAGATACTTAAAAGTTGTTGCTTAAGGTAGAGAGAGAAGTCTAGAACCATGGAATGGCTCTCATGATCAACAAAGAGGTTAAAGATTGGGGGTAGATACTAGACATAGTGGTAGTACGATTGGGGTTTGAGAACAATGAGGTGCTCTTTCCTTTTGATGAGAGGAAAGTTGTTCTTGATATCAACAAGAAGAAACTAGGTCAATACAAGTGTAGAGTTGAACTCCTTTGTGCAATGAAAAGGTTGTGGTTGTAAAGATCTACTGGATTAAACTTTTGGCGTTCCTCTTCTATTTGTGGAAAGAATCAATTGTTGATAGAGTTGTACATGCACTTGGAGGTATTCTTGAAGAAGTGAAGCTGAGAAATGTGCATGTGGTCTTTGCTAGGATTGTGGGGTGAAACCTAAAAAAATTGCCTCCCATTGTTGAAAATTTCTCTGATGGAGTATGGACTTCCGTCTGTTTAATCTCTAAAGTTGAATCATCGTTGTGGAGGTTGAAGACGATGGAGATGTGGCAGTGCAATACACACGTGGAGAGGTGGAAGAGGAGGAAGCAAGAGAGTGGCCGGGTTACTCTCCTAAGGAAGTTGAACATCCTTTTTTTGGGCCCTTACAAGGTGGCCCTCCTTTAAAAGAAACTAATTCAAACAACTTTGAAAAAAAAAGAAGGCTGGGATAGGCACCTTATCTTATGCTGAGGTGGTGAAAAGTGGACCCCACTTTCTTTGTTAGAAGAGACTCAAAGAAAACTGTAGCAGCCCTCCTCGAACCAGCTAGGGGCTTTAAGGGGTTGAAACCAAGTTAGGCCAGGACCCAGACTGACCCAAATGCAATCTTAAGTAATCACATGACTCGGGTCCAGCATGTGTTGGAAGACCATACATCTTGTCTATCATCGTCCCAATTTGGTCCAGAAGGCCGAGACTTACCTCCTAGGAGGTGAAAAGAATCTGAAACATTGGGGAATCCTATTGATCATCCAAATCCAAGATATTGTAGAGTTAGTTCAGGAGAGGAAGAAGAGGAGGATGAAGGCTAGATAGCAGTAGTGAGGAAAATGACGATGATGATTTAGATGAAGCTTCAAGTATAGGGAGTATAAAATCAGAGGAAGATTTCGACGAGTCCATAGGGCAGACATTGGACCTAGAGTTGTTGTTTATAGGCGCTTTAGGAAAGAACATGATAGTAATGCCTCCAGCATCAACCATGAAACATTTAGGTGGATCAAACGAGAGTCATAGTAAGGTGGTTGGGTCATGCACTCAACTCTAGACAAGGACCCTATTCTAAAGCCAATAATGATACAAGGGGGGATAATGAAGTACCTAATGATCATCTAAGATCAAATAAGCTCTAGCCCAGAAGGGACATTCCACAAGTCAAGGAAATCTTCATAGGGAAGATCAAGTGAAGGGTACGCTTCCTAAAGAACCTCAAACCAAGGTGGGTGGTGAAATCCATGCCCTTAAATAGGGAAAGAATCTTGAGCATTTGTTCCCTTATTTAGATCCCTCCTCAAGCTAGAACCTAGGTACATCTGTTAATTTAGTTTTCGATACTAATGTCTATTCTATGTCCAATGCTGCCTCTCCAAGTTCTGTCCCAGCTTCATTGCTAGCAACCCAGTTAGGTAAAGATAAAGCTCTAAAGCTAAAGAGAGTTTAGGAGTTTATTGAGACATGTATAAGTGAATCCAAAGAAAAGGTTCTATGTGGAGGGGGTGAGGGTAAAGTAAAGAAAGATTACTCTATAGATGAGGGTGCAACAAGGAATAATAGTGAGGATTCTATAGTAAAATTTGTTGAAAAATTAGGTTGCAAGTTGAAGGACCCAAATAAGCTGAAAGTGTATATCCAAAGACGGAAAGAGGAAAGTAAGATGAGGAAGAAGCTAAGTGATGTTGAGAGGTTAAAGCTGGAGGTGGAGGGTGATAAAAGCTTTTAGGATAAATTGGGACAAGAGGAAAGGGAATAAGTAGCTCAACACTAGGACTTGAGGGGCAAGACAATAAGGTATAAATCAAATTAGTGAGATGGAATGTAAGAGGTTTGGGCAACGCAAGAAAACTATCATTAATAAAGGATGTTTTCTAAAGGTTGAATTCGGATGTGGTATTAGTGCAAGAAACAAAAAAGATTAGCTTTTAATTGTAAATGGGCAAGGAGTATATGGAAGGTTAGAGGAGTTTGGTAGATAATGTCACCTTCTTGGAGGTCCTTGGGTGGTTTAATGACTGTGTGGAATAATGAAGAACTAGTGGGCATGGAAGAGTTGGTTGGCAAGTTCTTAGTAAATATAAAGTT